AGGCTGGAGAAAGAATTTGATGCTTTGATAAGAAACTAAAGTCCAACACCACTCATGCTGCCATAATCCACCGTCGACCAGCACCGACCGCCGTTGACCGCCCACCATCGTCGACCACCACCAACCAGCGTTGAACACTCCTGCCGCTGTTCACCGCTGACCACCACCAACCATCGTCGATCACCTCTAACCACGTCGAAAACCACCGAGCTGTAACTTGGGAAAACAAGTAACCCTTTCCCTCCCGTGGGATAAGTGGTTACTGTTATAATCATTTTTTTTTTAATTGTGAAACTATTCAGCTGGATCAAAGCTCATTATTTTTCCCTTTTTGGGTTTTTCACATAGAAACTTGTGATATTAATATTAGTTACTTTCGATTTTTTGAGTGTGTGTTGAATCTTTGTACGACACTAAGGTAATAATTTGGTACTCTACTACCACAAATTTTCTAGCACGCATCAATCGGGTTTTTAAATTATCTCTATTTGATTCCAAAAAAAAAAAAAAAAAAAAATTTATTCCCCCCTCAAAACCCCTGTATTTGCTGGATAGATAGCTTATTTTTGTTTGCCTGTCGCGAGAGAGCGTTTGGGGTCGAGAGAAGAAGGGCAGTGTAGTAAAACAACACGTCGAATAATAGGAAAAGCAGGCCTCGCCGCGGCATGCATTCCACTGAAATTACCCCAAACGCCGCCAAAATATGACAGCCAAACAAAAAAGAAAATTTTGTAATGCTTGAGACCGCGTCGTGCGAGTAACACAGCCCCAAACACACCCTTAGGGTCGGTTTGGGATTTGCCGAGGCACGTCAATTATTATTATTATTATTACATTTTTGCAAGTAGCACTTCATTTGAAAGGTGTTTTGTGCATGGGGTAGGGGCTGTGTGATTATATACTTCATTTCCTGATTCTCTTTATAGATGTTAATGTGATGTATGCGATTATATACTTATTTCCTTATTTATAATTCTTAACTTGCAAAAAAAACCCAAAACTTGATCCCAAGCAAAAGCTAGTAAATTCTTAATTTCTTTAATAGTTAATATGAGATACTACGTAAGTATACATATCATTATCAAGTAATATAAGACTTTATGATTAAGCCCCAAATATCAAATTCATAGGGAAAATATAATATGCACTTTATAAAACACGAGAAATTAGATAATCAAAATTTTACTTAGCAAAATTTTCTTACTTAAACTTTAGATACTAAAATAGGAATGAAAGTTCAATTCTTTTTGTAATTTTTGGTAGTTGAGAATAAAGTAAGCAACCAACTAACTTAACTAGATATTTGCAAGAAAATGAAATATAAATAAAATATCTTTTTTCTTATCATGAATCAGTAACAAGTATAGAAATTCTGTTTTGGAAGTATTCGAATTATGTTGTGTCAAATAGAAGGAATAATACTATTTACCCTTACTAGAGAAGCTATAAATAACATTGACTAATCTATGGTTTGAATAGTCTTGAAGACGGGTTAGGTTAGGAAGATACTAACTCTCACTCCAGAGTTCCCTCTTCTCCCATCACCTGAGGGCTAATATCTCGTATCAAAACTTAAAACTATAAATCAAATTGGGGGTTTTAGTTTATCACTCTAAAGTCCTCTAATTCTACACCCTTCAAAGTTTATTTCCCTATTTATTTGCACTCAACCTCATGAGCTACATTCTCATCCATGAAATCAAAATGTGATTCTTACCATTTGTTGACTGAGACAATACCATCTCAGATCTTACATGTTCTCACAACAGGTATTAACATCTTAATTGGCCAAATCAAGAAGTAAATGAAATACAATGTTTAAAATCATCACAACTTCTTCTAACATTAAAGTCTAATACTTCACACAACTTCTCTCCAATATTTAATCACTTATCATTTTAAGGAAAAAAATAAATAAAATTACTCAAAATTCATGAAGAAAACACAAACACACTTGAGTTTTAAAGTAGAAATTATGCACACAAATAAAAAGTCTAAATTAAAACCAAATGTAGTCACAAAGATAAAAAATTATCCCAAATTTCTCTCCAGCAACTGTCTTGAAGTTTATTTGAATCTCTTCCTTCACTCACAATAAAAATACACTAAAAACAAAAAAAAAAGATGGGCAGCGACGGCGGCGATGTGGCGAATGGCACCGGTCGGTCTGGATGGATGATGATGATTGACCTCTTTCATGGATGATCCAAGTCTTTTTTTATAAAAATTCAAAAGATGTGGTCTCTTTAAAATGTGTCATCATTCAATGAATCTTCTAGAGGTTGTCTTCTTTCAAAAGCCAATTGAATGAATTTTCGTGTCCATTGAGAATCTACATTTGATTTTTATTGATTTAGAAAAAGTTTACGATAAGGTTCCATGAGATATCCTTTGGAGATTTCTCGAGAAGAAATGTGTTGATATGACTTATATTCAAGTCATTAATAATATGTATACTAGAGCTGTTACTTGTGTTCAAACTGAAGGAGGATTGACAAAATATTTTCCTATTTCTGTTGGATTACATCAGGGATCGGCTTTAAGCCCATATCTTTTTGCTTTAGTTATGGATGGTCTTACTGGACATCTACAAGAGGATGTACCTTGGTGTATGCTTTTTGCTGATGATATTCTTCTCGTGGATAAAACGAGAGAAAAAGCCCAGGAAAAACTTGAATTATGGGGTCTACATTAAAGTCTAAAGGCCTTCGTTTAAGTAGAACTAAAACTGAATACAT